AAAAGGACCACCACAACTCCTGTGACCTTGCAGAACTGAGCCAGAGGTTGTAGCTGGTTGCTTTTGGTAAATTCTAGGATTTAAGCTTTCCTTGCTCTGCTGCAGAGCTTTGTCCATACTTTACTTCAGGCACATACTGAAAGTGAAGGCAAAACTGCCCCATAAACAATTGGTTTTCTTAAAACTTTCCCTTGTGCCAGGCTGATTAGTTTGCAAACAGCATGAGTCTTTGCTACTTACAAGAGTATGGCCTAGTACAAGAGACATTTGTACTTGTGTATTTTATTGTACTTATCTAAGAAATAGTCTGATTCCTACTCAGTCTCATTGTGAAATGAAATTCACAAAAAAGAAAACAGGAAATAAAATATAAGGAGAAAAGTTAGGGAGCAAAATTGAACCTTCTTCTGGAGTGAGTGCAAAATAGCCTGATATGATCAGTTATGAAGAAATAAATCATAGGAGTGCAACTTGAGCTCCTTTTTAGGATTGGTAACTGCTGAAATAGTCTCCTTGTGTAGGCACTGCTGACAGGAGTGTTTCTGCCCCCAAGGCAGTGTTTCTGGTGTGAGAAAGAGCTTTATCACATTGATGCACAGGACTTCTCCTGTTACCGTAATCAACATAGCCATGATTAGCACCTCTTCACTCTGCAGAGCTGGCCTTTACACTCAGCCTAGAGCCTCAGCTCAGAGGTTCAGGTAGTTCTGGCTATTGTTCAGTGAGAAGGGGTCAGGGAGCCTTTGTGTTGGGGAGAGGAGCATGTCGTGTGGGTAGATCAGAGAGCTAGCCTGGTCACTGGGTTTAGGAGTGTGTCATCCACCATCAGTACAGGAGCTGCTTTTTCTCTCTCCACAGTCAGTGGACAGAAAGAGGAAGGGATCAGAAGAGGAATTTTCACTGCTGAGTCGGAGAGTTCAACAGCTCAAAAGTATCATCCACAACCTGCCAGAGGCAGTTTTCAAGTGGGAAGTCATTGTCCACCAGGTTGACTAAATAGTAGTTGTCATGGATATACTGGATGATCATGCGAGAGGGCGATTCCTCTTCATAGAGCTTGGCCCATTGCTCGATCCACAGTGCAAAGGCCTCATCCTGCCAAGGGGAGGGGAAAAAAAAGTTTGTAGTGATGCAATGCATCTGCCTCCTTTAGGACTAGTGTCACACATGCCCAGCCAGTCTGTGGCCTCTTTCTTCTCAGTATAAATTGCAAGGGCTGAGCAAGGAGCCTTGTGCTTTCCAGTCAGTGGGAAGTGCCCTGAACAGTGTTCAGAGCTGGAAGGAGACCCGTTTGCAGTAAAATGGCTCAATACTGCCCCTGTGCGTGTAAGAGGGAAGAGTGGCTGCCCAGAGCTCTGGGGCCTAGGACAGTGACAGTAGTAGCTCCCAAGTATGCTATTACTGGCCACTTGGTGTCTATGAAGAGCTATTGCTGTAGCAAAGTTCTCCTTCCATTGAGGGAGCAGGAGGAGCAATACCTGGACCAACTGAAAACAAACCAGACACTCCAAACTTCCAGGGCATCACAGCAATGTATCCAATAGGAGAGAGGACTCACCTTCCAGGAGAGGAAGCTTACAGGATCCACTACAGTGGGCTGGATGATCTCTCTGCCTGGGAAGATGCCCCAGGTGACAGCATTGGGCTGCAGATCTGGAGCATTGGTGATATTCTGGCCCTGCCAAAGGAAGGAAAGCCTTTATGAAGCAGCTGCTGGCAAAGTGATTGAGTGAGTTGGAACAAGTACATTTACACTCTCCTTGTTAAGAGATCAGACAGCTGCTGCATATCACAGCTGACTTGCTTCACTTTCCCTTCCCTCCCCCAGCACTCATGTCCCTCTTTGCTTATAGTGATACTCATAGTAACTCATTAATATTTGCCTCTCTCCCAAGGTGGTGAAGTCCTGTAAACAACAGCCTACCTTGACATTGACAATGTGGTAATTCACTCGCAACTCGTACTTCTTCAGCACTTTGAGCAGCACTGTGACGATCTCACTGGAGGTGAAGAACTCTAGGTATGCCTACAGGGAGGGATGGGGAAGGGGAAAGAGAATAAGGGCCTTAACGCATGGCAGGGCTGGGACAAATACAGGCAACCAAGAGGACAGTTGTAGAGTCTGGGCTGCTTGGAAATCAGACAGCCTAAGACTTGTATGTCCATTCCCAGATACGTGTACTACAGAGGAAGCTTGAGCAAAGGACAGAGCAAATTAGTAAGAAAGCTGGGGGGGAAAAATTAAAATCTGGAGAGAGCAGAGGTAACAGCCCAGGAGCAGCCAGCTCAAGAAAGCTACAAGCTTCCTGTTTTGCACCCCTATAAGCAGACAGACTGGAATAAGGTACAAACAGTGTAACCACAACTGCTGTGCCTAGGAAGCTGACTGTGCCAGACAGAGTGCTTGAAGAGCCTGAGCTTCACCTCTATTCTGCATGGTACCCTATGAACAGCACTGTCCTGCCAAGGCAGCCCAGTCTGGCAGAAACAGAAGTTGGAGGTCTCAGCTGGACTCTCCCAAGCACTCTACCATTCCCTGTCCTCATCTTTTGTTTACAATTCTCCCTGTGTGCTTATGCAACCTAATTCTGTAGTTGTTCAGTCTACTGCTGCTCTGTGCTTGGCTGCTCCCAAGAACTGCTTTCCCTCCCCCTATTTCCTGGCTATTGTGCGAGATGATGGATTTCCCCTCACCTCGGGGGAATTGTTTCCTTTGAAAACATAACTGCATTTGCCATCTGCTGGTTTCGTGGCTTTAGCGGGTTTGGATCCCTTTTGAACAAGGCTGCTTTGTTTCCTAGTATGAGCCACTTGCTTGGCACTTACCTTGATGGGAGATTCCTATCACAGCCATTAGTGGCAAGGCTCTAGGGCCTGAAAATGCAAGACAGTAGGAGGCAGGCATGGCAGATAAGACTGCTTGCAGGCCACAGAAGTAACCTGGCAGCTGTCTGAACGGCACAGCAGTAGTGCTATTGGGTGAGGGCAATTGATGGAGAACTCTGCCTTAGAGGAGGAAGACAGGGGAGTTTTTAAATGCCCAGTTATTACCATGAGAAGCTGGGTAGTAGAGGTACTACCTCATTGATTCCCATCTTATGAAAAACCTGGGTGCTTCCTGCGTCACTGAATGGGATTGGATGCAGTAGGCAGGTGCATGTTTGTATCTAAAACTTCATAGCCCTGCTCTAAAAAGAAGTTACCAATAATTGCTGAGTAAAACCAAGAAGCTCTATGCATATTAAATAGTTGTTTTGAGGTGGAGGAAAACAGCTATGAAGTAAGCCATAGAGATGACATAGTCTGTCTCTTAAGACACCAAAGGAGCTTTGCCTCATCTCAGCAAGAAGGCTTTAAGATAAGAAGCAGGCAGAAGGATTATCTGGGTGAGAGCCTAGGACCTCCCTACCTAACAGAGACCAAACTGGGTCATAACGCTTTGCTGCCTAGCCCAGAGTAGAGCAGTACCTTCTGGAAAACATAACCGCCACTTGGCCCCCAGCCTACAATGGGGTCTGTGGATGGTTTGCCGTTGATATTTGGCTGGGAGTTGATGGTCAGGATTCCTCGTCTGTTAACCTTCTCCAGCTGATCCTTCAGAAGGTTGGTTTCAGTAGCAAGAGGGTCATCATTCCAAGGCATACACGTAACCTACCATGAAGAGAAAGGATGGCTCACAATGGATGTAACAACCCTTTGGTTAACATCTGGATACTGAAGGAACTCAAACACCTGCTTCAGGAGAGAATTCCCAGGTTTGGTTCAAGGGGCAGGATATCTTCAACTCTAAGAATGACTGCTGAAGTCTATTGGTACAGGTCCTGTCATACTGTAGCACCTTGCCTTTTATGTTGAGCCCTAGCTCTGGCTGCTGGATTCCCTTCAGACACTTTAAGCAAGTCCTTTTGGATAGGGAACTGCCAATTCTTGTTAAAAACAATGTGGTACCAGGAGAAAGAGGAAATACGTGCCACATTGACCATCCCTTCCTGGGCCATCACTCACCTTGTACCCATTCTTGTTGGGTTCTCCAGTGATGTAACATGTGAACACTTCAAAGACGCTTTCCTCACCAGTCAGCTCTTCTCCCCACATCTTCAGAAGCTCCTCCCGGGGAGACTTGCTCTTCAGGTAGAAGAGATAATAGTCCTTCAGTTCCCCAAAGGCTGGAGAGGAGGAGTTACCCCTGTAAGGGGAGCAGACTCAGGATTAACAGGCCGCTGAGGAAGATGAGCTAATTTTGTGATGCAAGAAGACAGCCACCCAGAAAGAGAAGTACCCAACAAAATCCACCTAGCCCCACCAAAAGCCTCAACATCTTGGTGCCATTCTCCTCACCTCATTAAAATCCAAGCAAGTGGGGACCACTTTGTTAAGAAGTCACCTGTTCCATCAAGCCCTAAGTGTCCCCAGAACACCCGCTAATGATAGAGACCAGCTGTGGAGCAGGCTTTCATACCACACCTCTACCTCACTGCCATTGCAGGCTGACAGCTTACCATCGGCCATTGGGGAAATCGTCCCATTCTTGAGTCCGGTAGATGTAACTCTTTGGCCTAGAGGCCCAGAAGATTGGCCGAACATCTTCAACTCTTCTCTTGGGATGAGCGCTGACTGCCCAGGGCAGAGGCCGCCTGTATGGGAGGAGCACATGTTAACACAGTTCCTCTGCTGGCTTTCCACCAGAGGCTGGAAGCATTTCCCTTGGAGAGCAAGTAACAAGGGCTGACAAGAGCTCTATTTGTCAAGAAGTAGGATATAAAACTCTTCTTCCTTTATGGAGGGTTTTTTCCCCACAGGATGCTCAGTAGGTGTTTGCTGAATGGTTAAGAACAGGACTGACACCTGAAAGTGGATGAGGTAAGGAAAAAGCACTGTGTGAAGCTATTTTTAATGGGAAGTAAAAACAGCTATTTGTTTCCCTTTGCTTCCTCCTGTCTATGCTGAAGCCTGTGGACTCAGAGAGAAGTCCACATTCTCTTTATCAGCTGCAGAGAACCCTAGAAATGTACAGTGGGAGCTTTCATAGCTTTTAAGAGTTGTGACAGACCTCAAAAACCAGGTTTCTTCCAAGGTTCAGCTCTAAGAGTTTAGGTTTTTAAAGTTCCAGAACAGTCTACTTTAAAGCCACTTGACTAAAATTCCTTCTTCAGCTGTCCCCTCTATTCCTCCCAGATTTTGTCAGAGTCCTGCCGCAAGGGTGAACTTCTAAATGTGGAAAGATGCCAAAAAAGGAAAAAAAAAAAAGGCGGCAGAGGAAAAAGGTGCCAACCCATCCATTGCTTTAAGCCTTCAGTAGATGGGATGGATTTATATGAAAGAGCACCTAACAGAAGCCAGGATATTCTGCTCACCTGGGATCCTCCTTCCATATGCCCAGGCGCTTAAGGACTTCGGTAGTAGCTACTTCACGATTGAGGGTGTAAAAATGGAGCCCATGCACCATGCCACTATCCAACAGCTCCCGGCACATGGACACTGCCAGCTCCACCCCATAGTTCCGGATAGCTGCATCGTTGTCCTTGATGGGTTCAATCACATCTTTGATTTCTTGAGGCACTTCCAGCTTGGAGAGCTTCACCAGCTGGCGCAGGGAGTGGTAACCCTGGATGAGGATGCAGGGGATTTTCACTTTTTCAAAGCCCTTTTCTGATATCCCAGTAACACAGGTACTTGATCTCAGTTTTGTGGTGGGAGATTTAGAATTGGGGGTCCTGGATTCTACAGCTTGCTATCTCTAGGATGGTAACATGATTCTGGTCATGTCACTTTAGGTAATTTCTTCTCATTTCTGTACTCATTGCCTGAGCCCAGCTTACTGACAGTGATGACTAACACCTTAGGACTGGTAAACCATTATCTTTTATATCCCTTTTTGCAATAGGGGCACAGAAAACCTGTTGAGCTTATTATTACATGCCTATGAGTTTAATTTGGCAAACCAACAGGTTTATCACTTGCTAGCACCCTCACTTCACAGAAATTTTGAGAATATTTACAGATCTCTCTCAGGCCCTGACCCACAAGCGCCTAATATTCTTATTCCCTTCCCAAACCAGAATTACTGTATTTCACCTGTATGGGGAAGATGCCAGGAATAATGGGGCAGGTGATGCCAATGGCTTGACAGTCCTTCATGAATTTGAGAAAGGTTTCTGAAAAAAGAAAAGCTGCGTAATGATGAAGTCTGCCCCAGCAAAGACTTTCTCCTTCAGGTGCCTCAGGTCTGCCTCATAGCTCTCTGCTTCAGGATGACCTTTGGGGTAGCCTTTGGTGGGGAGGGAAAAAAAAAGTGAAACCTTAATTATCAGGACAACACACCAGAAATTAAAAGGTAGCCAATCTGATTCTGCTGTCACTTACAGCCCAGGTCCAGAGGGACTGCTGGGCTGATTTCCCTGTCTCAGACCCTACTCCACGCTCTTGCAAAGAAAGACATTTACCTGCCACACAGATGTCAAAGTAATCATCAAATTCATTGCGAATGTGCTTAACCAAGTCAACTGCATAGTTGAAGCCATCTACTTCTTCCTCCCATTCCTCACCGACAGGATCTGAAAAGAGAACACATCCACACCTCTCTCCAACTGTTTGCTGGACTCGGATCTGCTAGTGCTGTAAAAAAATCTCCTGCTATCAAAAGGAAGACAAGATGAGACCTCCATGTTTGCAATTTTACCCATGGACTGCTGCTGTCTATATGTGAGCTGGAGGGACTACTAACAAAGGCATCAGGTAAAATGCAATCTCAACAATTAATGTTTGCAGGAGAAGGAGCCTCTGAATCTTATTTCTCCATTTTTACCCTGGAATTGAACACAATAGCAATGCAACCTCAGCCCTACACATCACAGGACAAAAGGATTCACCTCCACGCAATGCCATGATGTTCTTTAACCCGAGCCTCTTGGCCTTCTGCAGATGCCCTGTGATATCATCCTTGGTCTGATTGCAGCACGTCATGTGCAGGATGGTCTCCAGGCCACAGTAGTTGACTGCAGTGTTGGCAATTATCATGGAAGAGGTTTCCTTGTCAGATCCTGGGTCCCCTGCAGGATGCCACGTCACATCAATGAAGAGTGGACCACCTGCTCCCATACGGTCAAACCTGTGGATTCCAGAGCTGTGTTAGCCTACCAGGTAGCCAACTCCCCTCTCTCTGCCTGGGATATCTTGCTCACTGCTGGAATGCCAGCAACAGGCAGAGAGAGCTTGGGTGACAGCAGCAGGAGAGACCAAGAAAAGTGCTGAACTAGGAGTTTAGCAAGTGGCCAATGTAAATAAGGGAAGTCATCCTTTAATGGTGTATGAGGAAGAGCTTACAAACTCTTTAAAGAAGCAGCAACTTAAGTGTTCTCTGTAGAATAAACTTCCTCCCAGCATGCTCTATTGGACTGATACACTTTCTGATATTCAGCAATGCAGGTCCCATTCCTTTTGAGATGGGAGACTATGTTGCAACACCTTGTTCCCAGCTTTAAATCTAGAGGCCACAAATATGAAAAGATGGACCAGATCTCTATTTTGCTCCCTAACTGAAAAAACAAAGGCTCTCTTAACTTGTGTCTCTCCTGCTCTAGGTTGGAGTAGGCCCTTCTGTTTAAAATAAACCTAGCATTGGCATACAGCACTTACAAAAAGAGTTATGAAACTCCCTCTTCTCCTCCAAGTGAGTACATGGTGGCCCCTGGGCCTCCCCACTGGGCTCAAGGATAACCTTTAGCTCTGCTGAGAACTGTCACCTTTCATTTAGCATGTAGATGGGGACACCTAACTCAGAAGCTAAAACTGTAGTTCTCAGTAATAAGAAGCACAAACCATAGTGGCTGGAATATTCTGAAAGCAAGCACGAGTCTCTGTTTCAGAGACTTCGGCACACTGCCCATCAAGTAATATTGTTTGCTTCTAATAGGTACTTTTCTCCTCTGTTGTGCCCCAGAACTCTGTTAAGCCACAGAGCATGACAGTGGGGTTGCTCCATCTTCTCAGAGTATGGGAGAGGGGAAACAGTCTGGCCCCCTCAGTAACCCCACAATGACACTTAACTCTTCAGGGCCTCCAAGGAAGACAAGTTACCTGGTGTCCATTACCCTCCTCAGCAACATTACCTGCTTCGTCACCTGAAAGGGGAGACAGAGCATGGGGCAGAGCCTGCCTCATTAGCTATTTCCCAGCCCTCCACCAAAGACACTTCATCTCTCCCCTCTCCCACCCTGCAGCCCTCACCTGGAGATGAGATTGACAGCAGCATTGGCTGTGCGTGGAGGGAAGAACTCCAAGGAGAACCACTTGTCTCCAGAGTCCTGCCGTCGGCGCATCTTCTCCCGCAGTCGCTCATGACGGTCAGCATCGAGGACAGGGGTGGAGCAGCGTGAACTGTCCTTGGAGCTCTCGCTCCCGCTACTGCTGCCACCATCGGACTTGGAGCTGGAACTGGCACTGCAGGTATGCTGGGTCTCATTGACCATGGTGAGCTCTCTGGAAGAGGGGAACAGAAGGAGCACAGTGGGCACAAGACAGGACACAGATCTCAGCAAGAAGCAGTCATGGCTGGGGTGGGCACCAGATAATGAAAAATAAGCCTGTGCCAAGACCCAACATTAATCATCATCAAGCAGTCAAGCAGTCCCTTTTGCCAACCCTTGCTATAAGCTGTAGTGGGGGATCTGGTGAAAACACAACAATTAGATATTTAGCATGTATTTAGATAGTCCTGAGAGAAATAACACAGCAAATGACTTCATGCCACTTTGATGCAGCTCTTCTGTACCTCCTGGGTCAAATTTGGCTTTCAGAAGAGTCAGGTCAACATCACTTTTGTCCTGACTACAGCTTAGCAAGCCATGATACCCACATGCATCAGGTGAGGGCCTCTTTCATCTTGTGGCCTTGTGCTGGTCATGGCAGAATTTTTTTTCTACAGGAGCTGCTTCTTGGCCTGTATCCATTTTCAGAGTTTCCATTCTGTTTGTTCCTAAAAGGCAGTCCTTCTTTATAGTGTAGATAGGAGAGCAAACACTAATGGGGCAGGTACACAAGAATGCACAAACTATTCATTCCTATGGCAGGAAAAACATGAATGCCCACTGATCAGGCCATCCCCACAAATACCATTCTTTGTTTTGTCTTTGCTGCCATCAGACAGTTGCATTTCTAACCCTTAGCCTTCTTCCACAAGACACAGCATCTCCACAGACAGCTGTCCCCTCCACCAATACCGCTGCACACACTCAGCTCTTTCCTTTACCAGATACACTGTTCACGTTCCTTTCCTCACCAGTTGTGGCTGCTTGGAAACAAGGTCAGCAGAGACCATCACCTTCTCCCTGCCTTGCAACATGATCAGCTGTGCTTGCTTGGCTCCGCAGAAAGGAAAACAGCACTGCAAGTCTGTGGTACAAGTGGGTATGGGATGCCCACTTAGCTCCCGTGTTTCACCCTATGCCTTTAAAATTAGGTAGTGATTACAGATAATTAGAGAAGAGCTAACATAAAATTTGCATCTGCATTATTTGCTTATGTACCTGCCAAAACGTAAAATTGTCACTGGGAAGGAGCATATTGTCTGAGCATTACATAAGACTGGAGCCTGTTTTGGAGGAAATGGTTACGTACTTTGTCCTTATCATAAGCTCTGTGGGTTTAGGTTATCCAAGAAGACTTTGAACTCATCTTCTGCTGTTTACACTGAGCTGCCAATCAAGCAAAACCCTATGGGAGAAAGTCTACTTTTACCACCTGGGGGCCTTTCTAGCTGGCAGGAGATATGAGAAAGGAGCGCAAACCTGCTGCTGCCAAAAGGAACTGGGAGTCTTAAATCTCTTGTGTACCAACACAGCAGGCCATGGTAACAAACAGCAGCAAAGACCTGTTGACAAGTGAAGCAAAAGCAACCACGTGCACAGTGAGAGCCCTGACCAAGTTCTATCAAGGGACTTTGCCTGACACCCACGTGGCTCTAAGCTGCAAGAATTATCCCAAACCATACGTTGGTGATCAAGCTAGTGGCACAAAATCATGTGCATTCAACTCCCAATATTTCACTTCACCTTGGCACCATAGGCAAACCAAGGACCTCTGTTTTCCCACTTGAGGTTTAACACACGTCACAAGGGCAGGGTTCCTGTATTAATGTCTCTAGAGGATGAGACTTGCTGTTGAGGAGTCTTACTGGCAGTCTACAACCACAAAGACAGGAGAAAGGTCTCACTTAAGTTTTGTCTACAAGCAACATTTGGAACAGTTTCCTTACCCTTGGATGCACCACAGATCTGCTGGCAGAAGCTTTCAGTTACTGCAAAAAGTTTTTCTAAACAACAGTTGCAAAATAAAGATAGCCTTAAGCACCCACCAGCTCCCTTGGGTCAGCACTCCTGCTCCTCTGTCTACCATGCTACAGTGCTCAGAGCAAACATCTGTGGCCCCAGCACATTAATGCTGGCCGGCATAGCTGTGCCTCTTGTGTCTATGTGATGCTGGTTGTGCCCATTTGCTTCATCGTAGGCTATTCTTACTACTTTCAGGCCTGAGCTGACACCCGTATGTGCAGCGTGGAGACCTGCATCCTCCTAAGCTTTTTTTTACTGCCCAAGCTAAACTCAGTTTCACATGGGTTGCACATGCCCGCAAAGGCCTTGCTGTCCTGGGCCATGGCATCGGGCTGGCAGCCCCATGGGGCAGGCAAGGGACCCGCAGCTGGACCTGTTGCCGGGGCAGCGGCAAGGCCTGAGGG